GAAATAACAAATGAATAACCCATTTATTTTTGATATACCTCTACTTGATGATGACAGGGTAACCCTTCATGTATCAAGCAATATTAGCTGCGGTTTGAAGTATCGTATTCGACGATACAGGGTTATCAACCACATATATGCTTTTTGCTACAAATGCTACAGAGATAAAAGCATGAGTTTTAGAAAGCATAACATTGTTGTTTTCATATGGAATACTTACAAACTACACCAAGATTGATAACAACAGAAAACCCACTGGGTCACAACCCTTCAGGTAAACTGAGCTCACCTTCATTGATCTCAATAAATTTTTGCTGCGCATTTGGATCTTTGTTTTTATCGGGATGGTATACCCGAGCGAGTTTCCGGTAGGCCTTCTTAATGGCCGTGGTATCCGAATTTTTGGGAACGCCGAGAACTTCGTAATAGTCACGTTTGCACTCAACCAAAATGAACACCATCAATAAACCCAGAACGGCACGAATCCAGTTCTCAATTATGTGGCTCATCTGACCTGAAAAGCGTCAGTTTCGAATAATGAATGAATAATTCATTAGGAGAGAATGAGTAATGAACATCCTTCACTGTATTTGAAACAACTATGTGCAATGCCTCGTGCAAAAAATATACAGTCTAAATGACACTCAATACGAAAGGATTACCCAACCGGTTGCTTACTCTATAGAGAAGGCACTGGGCCTGGGTACACCTCGTTGCCTTGAATTTTACCAGTTTGAAACGTGTTAAGTGAAATGTCACCGCGTTGGTCTTTGAAAGGAACTAAAGGCGTAACAACCAAGGCCCGTATTAGTGATCTTCATTACACCTACACTAGAGATCTGGTACTGGCAAAGGCCGCCAGAATAGAGATCAATACACGAGGAGTTGTCGAGGTAACTCCGGATGACGGAAAACTTAAGAAATCGGTCACAAAGGGACCCACCAAGATGGAAAAAGAAGGATAAAAACCCCAGGTAATAAGTAAAAAAGGTGAGCAGATTAAGTGTGGGGAGAAACCCTAGCCTCATCTATGTGAAAAGCAGATAAGTCAGGTGGTGACGTCTCTCACCGCTTAGCAAAGGGTGAGGCTGGGGAGAGAAGCCAACCAAAATCCAGTCAATGCTGTAGGGGTAGAAACTCGGCTGATGAAATGTCGGAGACCTGGGCAACCAGTGTAGCTAGAACGCCGAAAGGGAGGCCCAGTCAGACGATGCCAGTTCCTTTCTGTCATAGGAATGGTTTAGCAGAGAAAAGCCTCAAATAGCACCACGGACTAGCTGTAGGGGAAACCACCAGTTCTCCAGGGGGCATAACTTGAACAGGAATGTAATCCACAAATAAGACAAAAAACGAGGTGAGTCCTCGGACCCCGCGACCCAGGGTTCGCCGGGAATAAGGTAGGCTAAACGCGAGAAGCAGGCAATGGCTGTCACCAAGTGGGACACCAATACCTGTGGTATTAAAGCTAAGAGGGGCGAACTGGGGGCTTGATTCCATGGTTCGCTGATCATAATGATCTCGAAAACATGAATGCAAAAAGAGCACGTCGCTAACTGCCCCAATAATTATTTGTTTTCATTCTTACTGTTTTCAACAAGTAGCAAATTGCAGAAAACTGGCAAATACGCCACGAAATATGGACAAAAAGAAATCTTTAAAATGTAGAATAATTATGCGATCTACAGGATAGAGAGGATGGCAGACAAGGTGGAGTGTTGATATTGGTTAAAACTAATATGAACCACTGAAATGCCCAATCCATCCTAGCCACGCCCAATATCCAGCCAATAGCATGCAACGTGCTCTTAGGTAAAAGACCGCTAAGTATATTGTTTATGTACAAAGCACCGCAAGCTACGTTGATTGAGAACAGTCAACTGCCTTAAGTCATGCAAGCGTTCCTTTCGAAGCCCGAAGGTGTCTTAACAGCTGAAGACTTCAATCTTCCTAAAATCGACTGGATGAGAGCCGGTGTAACGAGTGGGTATACAGGCGAAACTCTCCTCGAATGGATAGACTCCCACTATCTTACACAACACGTTATGCAGGCCACAAGATTCGGAGATCAAGCGAGACCGTTCATCTGGGACCTACTTATAATAAGATATGCGTCGGATATAAGCGAGATGAAAGTATAAGAAGCATTGGGCAAAAGTGATCACCTGGTATTGAGATTCCTGCTAGAGCCCAAAGCTATGACCCCTCGTTGTTTTAGCACAAGAAGCCCTAAATAAGTTATCTGTGTGGAGTGCTGATAGCCCTCTGACTATTTTAAAGGTTTCTATCAGGTTTCCTCTCACTCGTATACGTTCCTGCGAGAAGAGATTAACGTCCCTCAAACACTGTTTATAGTTTTTTCTCCCCTTTTCCCAGCTACCAGCTCTGCAGGTCGTTACAATACAAGCCGTCCTCCGTTTCGGGAATCGCCTCGTTTTCTTTTCGCACGAACGTACGTTTGCGACCTATACGTATTAGCTCGGGGTATTGATAACCTGGTGCCTACAGGGTAACAACTGATTGCACTTTATTCCGGGATGATATATCCTTCCTATGGTATGGGTCCTATGTCTGAACACAGTATTCTAAGTGCGAGCTAACTATTGCCTTATAAATAAGAACAAAAACCTCTGCGTTACTAGAGGTAATGGTAGCAGACAACCTGAAAATTTAACCACGGGCCTTATTTGTTGCCTCCAGGCATTGTGTTTTGCGCCTGAAGTTCTTGGTGGGAAGAACCCCTAAATCCTTGACTACCTCTGTGGGATGCAGTGGTAGCTGTCCATCCTGGGCGGTATCAGCTCGTGGTTAAAAGTCGGTACTTTTCGAGGATTCGTGGTAAGTCTAACTTTGTCAACCACTTTTACGTCGCACTCCACATTTTTTCCGGCTACTTTCCCATCGTCCGCTAACATGAGACAGGGATTTTAGAGATCCCGTGTCAAGTCGTTGAGGGAAACTAGAAAGATTAGTGGTGGTATTGTCATAATTCCAGAAGACAGTGCTGGTCGAGGATAATGGTTTATTGCCGATAAACAGTCAGGATATGGTTAACTTGTCAATCATACAACAAAATATCTATTTTGGAACAATTATGCAGAATTGCCGCAAACACACAGGACATATCAAGTCAAGTGAAGCCAGTAGTAGCTTTATGCACCCGGATGGGTGTATTTTCAGCAATTACACCATATTTGTGGATTCAAATTTACAAAATCGTACATAGTGGACACAATGAAAGCAGTAGATATTGTTTCTCAATAAAGCAAGCAATTGCGCAATTCTGTGGAAATTGTGTCCTTGTCTATAAGTAGACGTGCTAGATATGGTAGAACAGAACTGCGATAAGCACAAGTACGTGCAAATAAAAGTTTAAATCTTGAGCGTGTGGATGGTGTAGATACAGCTTTTGAAAATTCATTGTGTAATGGGTGGTGAGTGTTTGAGAGTATTTTGGTGGCGAAATTTCCACATGCTTGTAGATGTCTGTCAATGATAGAATCGGCCAGTTTATCCGTGACAATGCCACTACATTTAGAGAGGTGTTTCAGAGATCTCGCCAGTAAATAAAAGTCTTTCTTCAACATACCGGGAAAAATTACTGGAGAGCAATACAACCAGTGGGGTAGCACGCATGCATTCACAAATCTAACAATCAGCTTGTGGGGAACAGAAAGTAATTTCAATCGGAGTGAGAAATATGAAAGCTTTCTAACTTTACAGAATGTGTTTTGAACGTGCTGTGACCATGATAAATTGTGGTCATATAACGTAACGGTCCACTAACAAATGCGCATTCTTGTGTTCACCGGACCAAACAGCAACAGTCTGCTCCAACAGGTCTTGCTCATTTTTGGTCGTTGAAAGAAACCGCTGGTCGCATCTTTTTGCATACTACTCACAAGTGAGTAGTATCTCACAACGCTAGTACTGATCCTTGAGAAACCCTGCTGGTTACTCTCACAGGTTCCCTCGGAAAATCACCAACCTTCACATGGAATGTGCGATGGTTGAGGAACTGCACGACCCAATTTCTCGCTAATCACACAGACTTCTGCCTGCAGAGCTTCTACTAGCTATTAGGTAACCTCATCCAAAAAGGTTAGTAGGTTAGGTGTGAGGGCGCGAACCCATTCCTAAGTCGACATACACCTACATAGATCCTATGCCATCTCTCTTTCAGTGTGGACACCAGGGATTCTAGTATCTAGATGAGCTGCTCCGCGGCTTCACACAAGGCCACTTTACTCATGTCTTTAGAATAGTACCAATGAGGCTTCCGGCTTTCTGTGCTTTTCCGTCAGCAGGAATCTCAACACCAGATGATCACTTTTGCCCAGTGGTTCTTATACTTTCATCTCGCTTATATCCGACGCGTATCTTATTATAAGTAGGTCTCAGTTGGCCGGAAATGTTCCTTGAGATTAGGTGGTAGTGTGTATCATCACTGAGTCAGGCAGTCTCCAAGTTTAAACTATTGAAACTCTCCGTCGAAGTGACTAAGTGCATGATATGTGTTCGAAACCATGGCGCTTCCGAAAATGAAGGTCTCTCACCAATGAAACGAGAGGACATTCTTTGTTTTCTCTTTTTCAGCTTGATGGAGAAATCCGACAAAAGTAACTCAGATAACGCAGTGTTGGGAGCCAAGAACACCCGCCGACAACGCAATAATCTGTACTCTCGATTGGCAAAGGCCATTATTCGTCCAGTGAAGATTGGACTGGACTGGACCGCACTGTCGTTGGATTTTATGCTCTGGCGTATATGTCACAGTCTGTAGGCTCAGTAGCGTTCCATCTATAAGCAAGAAGAGGTTCAGCTACCCAAACGCTTCTATGATATCCCGAGGCTTCATACAGGTTCCTCACACTCTGTCTTCGTGAGGGAGGACAGGTTTAGACACACATTAGGAGTCTGTTCCTTGAAGAAAGAAATCAAGATCCTGGAAGTGGTTCAAAAAAGATTCACGAGTGTTGGACAGGATGAGGGTCCCGAAATATATCGAGAGAGTAATGAGGTTGAATCTGTCCTCTCTCGCAAGATCTCGAGGTGTAAGTGAGCGGGACCTCGCAGATCTGTAAGAAGCTAATGTCTGCAGGTATTTGCTTGAATTCGTGAATTCAAACAGATGAACGCATCGACGCGTGACTATGATCACCCGCGTGCATGCCTTACAGACAGATCATCATTCAGCTTATGCCATGAAACCAAATCCAGCGTCCATAGTGGCAAACTGACAAAGTTCATGTAAGTCTCACGAGACAAAGCGTTGCCGTCGCTCGAGCGACGTAAACGATCGGGTACACATGCATGTGTTCAGTTCAGTTCAGTTCGGTTTCCCTAGGACGAGATGTGGTTCTTGCCAGTCGCGCGTCTAGTTCGTTGTGTCGTGGGTGAATGTTCTGTGCTTCCAACACTGCGTATTCGATTGTTCAATGGGTTTCTTCTTGAACAAACCAGTTTCTAATTGTGGAGATCTTCACAGCCGGTGCTGTAAAACAAAAAGGAA